ATGGGAACCATGACGTCTCAGTTCTGTTCTCTGCTTCACTAAGTTTGTCTTGCAAAATTCCCACCTAAGCAAAGATCCATTTTTACTCACCATTCCTGTTTTCCTCAGCATTTGGTATGGAATGAGTTCTTTTTGCAGATGGTCTTTCCTTGACCAGCATCGCCGCGTGCGCAGAAGCACTCTTTGCATGCGTACTGATCTCGTTTGATTTGCTCCTTCCACGCACTTACACTGGCTTGTTGTAATGCTCCAAATTTATCTTTGTCATCTGATCCTAGGAATGGAAGGCCAAACACAGATCCTTGGGTGGACTTCATTAACGACACGTACTCGCCCTCAGGAAGGGTAGCTGTACCTAAACCAACCTCGGGTCGCTTTCTGTAATACACATTCCCTCTGAAGTTTTGTCCAATGACTTCGCCGCGGAACTTTCGGTATTTTCCAATTACGTTTAAGATGATGTCTTTAGATTCCAACATGCTGCCGATACTTTCGAGAGAAGCGAAGTCAGCCATTGGATGGCGATCAGTGCTTGTTAATAGCAGGAAGATCTTGGTGGCAGCTGCGGGAAAACAAAATAAATTTTTACCGATGTCTCATTGTACAAACTTACACATCTAAAACATAGCCAGAAGTGCTTCACACGAAGTTTAAAGAAGTCCTCTCATAAAACTTTTGCGCAACATCGTTCTGGTACATTAACGCACCAGAGGTGGAAAACGGAGGAAATTTCAAGTCAGCTTAGTAGCAGAGTGTGCAACAGAAATTTACGACTGAAAATCACCCATATCGCTTTATCCCAAATATGTAAATAAATGGGTTTTTTTTTTGTCTTTTCACTACAATGTTGAGGTGACGTCGATACTTGACCTCGCTAGAGACCTATAAGCCATGAATCAGTTAATTTCCTGCCCTCCTTTTTTTCACGAAAAAGTTATATTTTCGCATTTATCCTTGTTGTCTCTTTATTGCCACTCACCTGGTCTGAACGGATAATTATAGGCTGCGTAGGCCATAGCCTCCAAAGCATTACTACTGTCGTTGTCAGAATCTCCGTTGGAGAACTTCAGATGCTCAAACGCATCCTCGACGCTGTCAATATCGTTCATCAGCTGACCGTCAAGGGTGATGGCGTGCGGGCCTTTGTGTGTCAAGCGACCACCGAATCCAACCACTCCAAAGCGGAAGGAGAACTTGGACTCACCCAGGGACTCAGCCATGCTAGAGAGGAATGTCGGTATCTTCTCAGCATAGCTCTTGAGGATGGAGGTCTCAGGTACAAAAACAACAACATCTACAGCTTTGTCTGCTTTCTGGAACCATGTCTTACCGATCTTGTTAGCGCCGCAGCGTCCTAAGAAGATAAAGATTACATAAACGGGTCAGTTCAGTAAGAGATCTCCCAGGCTTTCCACGAAGGACATGCGTCCTTGTTAGTGTGTGCTAAGAAAATTCTCCTGAAGTTCAAGTTTTCTCAAATTTCTCGTTCGCAATTCGGGTTAGTCAACTCCATCCTTAGCAATTGTCGTTTTTTTTTTTTCCAATTATTTTTACTACTGTTCTGGTGAGATGTAATTTTTAGCTTACCTAACCGTAAAAGGTCGTCACAGAGAACGACCCATAATATTCTGATGAAGCTCCATTGGAAGTACAATCAATTCACTTACCGCACTCTGGCAGGTACTCAGCCCACATTCCTTTCATTCTAACGAGTTCGATATAGGCAGCAGTTGAATTGCAGTGCTTCATGTCTTTGGGAGTGTTAGAGTCGCATTCTTTGTAATCTTGCTCGCAGGCCTTTACGAAGGGTCCGGGGTTAACAACTGAGAAGAAGTGACTCAACGGGGAGTTCTTCTCCTTGAAAAGGGCGCGACATCGTTGTATGTAACTTGTTTTCTTGCACTTGGGCTTTTCCGGCTCCTCCTCGAGTACTTTGCATTCTGGATCGTGAGAGATCTCCCAAGAGTTCACAAAATCGGTTAATCACTTCGCTGGGGTGTTGTTAATAGTCATCATCTCATCATGGAATTCATTGTTGTTTGTTCCGAGGAGACCTGAAGAAAGATTAATAAGAATAAGTGGGACAAAACTGACTCAACAAGAAAAAGGCCAGGGGTAGTTGACTTTTCCGGCAAAAAAGTATTATCGATTTCATTTGCAGTGTATTTGCAAGAAAATTATTACAGTGAATACAAATTGCTGGGACCATAAATTAGAAATCCATCCATATCGTACCTGCCATACGTCCATGGAACCACCTTGCAATGTTGAAAGTACACAAATAGTGCTCAACATCGCAAACGATCTCCAAGCCCATGTCATGACGGAAAACGATGAAGGATCCTTGCCTTTGGACTGTGGTGTTGAAGCTCTCTACCGGAAGCTCGCTGTGATAACCGTCGGAGACTTTGTTTCCTGATGGAGATACCTTGACAATCGTCTCAACTCTACCGTCTTGATATATCTTCACGCTCGAGTCCTCCGTGAGAACGATGATGGCTGTTTCTTGACTAAGGATTGTGAACTTGTTGTCGCGGACATCTCTTGCTAAGACGTACATGCAGCCTGGCTTCCTGTAACCTGGGAATTTGTAGTAGGTGCCGTCGAACGTGTACACGTGGGGTCCACCAAAGATCATCGCCGTACCTTTTTGACACAAAGTGAACGTATCATTGGTAAGAGTAAAAAAAAGATGAAAAGGATACAAAATCAACCTTAGTATAGTACGTAGCCTGCAACAAACATCACTTCATCCTCTAATTAACAGTTGATAAGAGTAGACGAGCCTATAATTTCGTGGATTTTATCTAACTCTACCAAGTTTTCTTACTCAAACTACAAAGCAAGAGAAAGAAGAAACTCAAGGATAGAAGTAAAAGGAAGAATCGCTGATCAGATAGATAAACGTCGTTCTCAAGGATCCAAATGAAAATATTAGAACAAGCTTCACACAATGAACTTACTGTTAAACGGTGGGATCCAATTAATTGGGTTCAGAGCATAGGACATTTGCGACACTCGATGATTCATCCTTTTCTGCCAGTAGCGTTTAGCTCCGTGCAGGCTGCGGACGCGCGTGGAAATCATCTTCTTGGTGTGATAAAGGTACCTGTGGGCGTGGTTCAGATACAGGACAGTTTTTTCGTGCTGGATAATGGCCTCGTACAACGTCAAGGTGTAGTTTCTCAGCTCAGCATATCTTTGCGAGGTTAAGTTGTAAGCTTCACCATACAGTTCAAGGCACATCCTCATGGTCTGGTCGAAGGCAATCCGTGAGTAGTTCCTGACTTTACCGTATAGTTCTGGCAAACTACTTGAGTTGCACACATCGAGGGTGACATTTTGGACGACTCCATAGACACCGGCGGTGAAGTTTCGAGTCATGTTAAATCCTACACTGCACCAATGACGCGTGAAATTCAGAGCTATTGGAAGGTATTTCTTCATCACGGTGGTGTTGTAAATGGCTTGAACAGTTCTATTGAACACACGTTGGTAGATCTTCATGGTTTTGTTCAAAGCAGAAACAGAGTAGTTCCTGGTCTGAGCCAGTGCCTCTTGGTACAGCTTGGCTGTCTTATTCAGTGCAATGGTTGAGTATTTCACGGCGTGGCCCAGTGCTGTGCTGTAAAGTTTGAGCGTCTCGTTGAAAGCTACTCTCGAATAATTCTTCGTCTTGCCGAAGGCTTCTACTAGACATGTGGAATTGTAGATATCGAGGGTTACATTTACAGCAACTTCATAAACCTCGACTGTAAAATTCTTGGTGATACCGTAACACTGACGGGAAAGGTTCAAAGCCATTGGAATATACGTCTTCATGAAGGTTGTGTTGTAAACGACCAACACTGTTTTATTGTATAGACGATGACAAAGTCTCAGAGTCCTGTTCACAGCCACTGTTGAGTAGTTCCTGGCCATTAGCAACGCTTGTTGGTAGATCTTGACCGTCTTATTCAAAGCTAACATCGACAGATTCTTAGCTTTCAGCAATCCCTGTCGGTAGAGTTTGACCGTGTTGTTTACCGCCATCGTCGAGAAGTTCTTGGCATCGTGGAAAAGCTCGATTGTTTGGTTATAGGCTGTAGCTGAGCAATTACTAGCTTGACGTAGAGTTTTCCTGTAAAGCTTCACTGTAGCATTGATAGCGATCTTGGAATAGCTCATGGCTTTGCCCAAGGCCTCGGATGGGCAGCTTGAATTTAAGATATCCAGCGTAACGTTCTGAGCGACTTTGTACACTTGCACGGATATATTAAGAGTGCGGTCCATGCAAACATTGTACCACTGGCGAGAAAGGTTCAATGCACGAGACACATATTTGTTAGTAGCATTGTAATAATGATGGGAAAGATTCAGCGCACGAGACAAGGTAACATTATAACAATGCCGGGACAAGTTCAGCGCACGTGAAAGGTATCTGTTGGTGACGTTGTAGCACTGGCGGGACAAATTCAAGGCACGTGATGCATATTGGCTGGTGACGTTCTTTACTAGGGTCATGTTCAAACCACTTAAGAAGTTCCTTGTGATGTTGAAGTAATGCGCAGACTTGTGAAGGTATCTCACGGTCACGGGGTGATACCTGGTCCTCCTGTAAATGTTACGTAAGAGCCTCACCATCTTGTGACGATAGACCGTTGCAAGTTTTCTGGAAATGTTGAGGTAATGGACAGTGGTATTTGCATACTTCTGGGTAAGAGGATGGTTCTTGCCCAGGTTGTAGGCGTTTATCACAAATCTGTACGTCTGCTGGCGGTAGAACACTGCAAGGTCCCTGGTAACATTGAGGAAGTGAAGGGTTATGTTGATGTATTTTTCTGTGAGATGATTCTTGGTTAAGTTGTAAACCTTCATGACATAGCCGTATGCTTTTTGCTGGTAGAACACGGTTTTGTTCAAAGTTACCGCCACCCATGCTTTACTGATGGTCTTGGCACGGCCCGACATAATTCTGGCCTTAACCTTAAGCTCAGTTAACTTTTCAACTGCGTTTTGTCTCAGCTCTCCATATTTGACAATAACATTCTGTTTCAGCTCATTGTACTTCTCAACTGCCATCTGTTTCAACATTGCGATCTTTACAGCAGATTGTTGTTTCAAAAGTCTTATCCTGTCTGGTACTTCCTGTTTCAGTTTCTCCATTTTTTCAAGAACTTCCCGTCTTATCGACTGAATCTTTATCACTCCGTTTTGCTTAAGCGACTCAATCTTTGCTAAGAACTGCTGTTTCAGCGCCTCAACCTTAACTGGGGTGGTCTCTCTGAGAAATTGCATCTTTACCAGGAAGTCCTGTTTTAAGATCTTAATTTTTTCCACTGAGGCTAAAGCTAGGGTCTTGATCTTTCCGTCAAATCTCGGGATAACAACAGTGACACCATGTTCAGTAACCTGAATATACTTGGGAAGAGCCAAGCGGAAATCAGTGATGGTCTTGCCGATTGTTACACTGGCGTTACGGATGGCGATATAAGCATTTGTGATGGTCTTGTTGATTGCGATACGGGCGTTGCGTATGGACACCAGAGCTTTAGTGATGGTTCTGTTGACAGCCACATGGAAATCTTGGACAGTTTTGTTCATGGCAACACGGGTATCCAGGATTTTCTTTGTGATGATGGAACGAGCAAAATGGACGGTCTTGTTGAGTCTGTGGGTTACATCTACGAACGTGGCGTTCAGATATCCAATAGTGCGGTTAACATATCTCATAGTGGTGTTGACAAATTTTAGAGCTGTGAGCGTTGATGCCTTGATGAATCTTGGAGCATTAACAGTTTGGAGAGAGGAGTTTACAAATTCTATAGTCATCTGCACCTTCCCCCTAAGATACTGTCCATGCCTGTTGACAACGTCCATGGTGACGTTCCTCGTGAATTCCAAACTTCTACGCATTCTTGCTTTGACGGCATCGTCGATTCCATAGTACTTGGTGACGAAGGCAGCAGTTTCGATCACCTCTGCTCGTGTATCATTGAAGAACCTCAAGAGGGGTTTGGAATTCAGTAGAGTTGAATTGATGGCAGCCATTGTTGTGTTCAAGGCACAGGCAAGGCGCGCCCTAGCGATGTTAAAAGTCTCCACTGTCAAGTTCACAGCCAAACGGGTCATGTTCAAAGTGTAATTATAAGCACGAGTGCAAAGGACACGTCCCTTTAGAACAGACTCACGGAAGGTCATTTTGCCAAATGCACGAAGCACGGGACAAGAGTCGATGTCGAGTGCCACCTGGAAAGCTTGTCTACTCACATTAATTACCCTTTCTTTCAGGCCCATCACACTGTCCTTAAGTTCAAGAGCCGTCTTCGTGATGTTCCTCTGCAATATAGTTACTAGCTTGCTGTAATTGTGATACGCAGGTAGGACAGTGTCTTTGTAGAATGGCAGGACTTTGTTGAAGTACAAAGGCTTAACTTCTTCTCTATAGTACCTCATACCTCTTTCCAGTTCTTGTCTGTAATACTTCATACCCTCCTGTAAGGTCCTGTTGATCCACACGCGGGTGAAAGTAACTGAAGCGGCAGTCCAGTTGCGGGAAATGGCAATTCCTCTCAAAGTCAAATTCTTACAGCGGCCGATGCAGTCCAGAGCCAAGGCTTTGTACTTCTTAATCAACAAGGTGTAATTCCTGTGCAAGGAAACAAAGTGGCTGGCATAGATGCGCTCGTAATGGCCTTTGAGGATTACGGTATAATTCTTGAGATGAGATGTCAGGATCGTTGTATAATTGCGAATTGTCGCATTAAGCATCCTTGTATAATTTTGGAATGTAGCGTTAAGGATCTTTGTGTAGTTCTGGAATGTTGCATTTAACACATCTGTATAATTCTGTACAGTTACCTGGACAATCTTTGTGTAATTTTGAACTCTTTCTCTCAAGAACCTCGTGTAGTTTTGAACTTTAGCCTTCAAAATCCTGGTGTAATTCTCGACTTTCGCGGTGATGTTCCTGTAATAGACCTTTCCGATCGCCACAAACTTGCTCGTCATGTTCTTGGCTTCCAATGTCATATTTCTGATCTGTAGAGAGACATTTTTGGCCAGCTCGATGGTCTTGAACACAGAGTTGTGCTCAACGATTTCGCGGAGCTTCATGGTCTTGAAGTCTTCAAACTTCACGATCAAAGTTTGGCGTGTTTCTTGCATTTTAGTCTTAATCTTATCTGCCATTACTTCAGCCTTAGTTTTAAGATTTTCCATCAGTTCTTTGACCTTTTCCGATGCCAACTCGACGGCTTTTCCGAGGTTAACCGAAATGTTTTTGACGACTCCTCGACAACTTACAATCAGTTCCTGGTTCCGGAGGTCTTCAGTTAGTTCCTGCACGCGTTCGTGATGCACGATGCTTTCAATGGATGTACCTTTAATGGCAGTTTGAGCCTTAGCAAGAGCCTTTTCCAATTGCATTTGGGGATCAGCCAATAGACTTTGGATCTCTTTCTTAATCTCATCATACCTGTTCTTCATCATAGCACATCTTCCCTTGATTTCAGCTGGAAGAGTTACGTTCAGATAAAAGATCGCCTCTTTCACTTTGGCTTCAACTTTGGGTTTCATCGCTTTCAGGAACTCCACGATTTCGTCATACCTCTCAAGAACAAATTTTTCAACCATTACATAACGTTGTTTCAGCTGGTGTTTCTGGATAAGCCTCTGGACGTCTTCAAGGGCCATGAATTTTGTATAGCTCTTTCTCAGCTGCTGCCGTGTTTCGTTCAACAGCTCTAGCGTTTGGTTGAGAGCAAGCGAAGTGATATTTGCAGCTTTTTCGAGGAGTGGAAGAGAGATGTTCTTGGCCTTTATAAGGTAGAAGACGGTCTTATTCGCCATAACCTTCACATAAGGATGGAAGATAGCAACAAGCTCTTTCGCAGTAATGAATGTGATGTTAGCGGTTTGGTTGTAAAGAGCGATTGCCTCTCCAGTAATGTTGATCACAGTCTTGTTCAGTTTGTGCAGCTCCTTCTTCCACTCTTCAAACTTAGCTGTGAATCTTACTTTGGCATCGTTAATCTTCTCCCTGATCCTATCCTCAACAATCTCTTTGAACTCTTCATATTTGTTCGCTAAGAACACTCTGTTCTCGAGGAACTTGCGTTCTGCGAGATCGAAAGCTTCGAAATAGAGCTCCTCGAGGGTCTTCTCTTTGTTCTCACTATACCACTTTTTCATAGCTTGAGCGGTTGACTGAACGAAATACACAGCCCCATCAGCATACCTCAGAACTAGGACCTTTCCTTGAATGAAGTTGGCCTTAACCAAGGGGACGACAGTTAGGTTTATGTAACGAATTCCTTGAAGCACCAGAGCCCTGGTCTTGTTGTAGGCTTGAATAGTAATATTCCGTGTCACATTGTAGACATGTAGGGTGAGGTTGCGTGCCAGATTGGAGTGCTTCAATAAGTACTGAAGACTCAAGTTGCGTGTGAGATTGTAGTACTGAAGGGAGTAGTTTCGGCCCATGTTGTAGTAGTGAATAGTCAGGTTTAGAGTTGCATTGTAGTACTGCAAGACCATCATCTTAGTGCGATTGACCAGGACCAAAGTCAGGTTCAGTGCTCTTAGAGTTACATTCTTGGTTTCGTTGTAGAATTTTATCGCAATCACAGTGGCATTCTCGTAAAGCTTCAGAGCATGGGCAGTAACATTCTTGTAGACTTGGACTGCATGTAACGTGAAATTACTGTAGAGCTGCCTTGCACGTAAGGTGGCATTTTTGTACAGTCGAAGTCCATGTGCTGTGAAATTATTGTATAGTCGCACTGCATGGAAAGTTGCGTTCCCGTAGAATTGAAGAGCATGAGTAGAAATGTTGCTGTATAGGTTCAGTGCGGGTACGGTTATATTACTGTAGATGGCCAGCCCATGCTTACTTAAGAACTCGTAACTCTTCGTAACTATCTCCTCATAAGTCATGTTCTCGAGCTTTCTAGCCTTGGTGATCAGGACATTCAATTCACTCAACAGCTTCTCCCGTTGAATTCCGATACCTTGGATGACATTTGCTTTAAAGTCTTCATATATTTTTAATAGGAGATTCTTGTAAAGGGTATACAGCCTAAGTCCTTCTTGCTGGTGTTCATTGTACAGCACCAAACTGTGTTTCTTCAAGATGTTATAAGCTGCGAGGGTCCTGTTGACCGTGATGTTTCTGTAGAGGCATGCCATTTCATACGAAACATTTCGCAATTTACTTTCCCAGTGAAGGCTTGTATTCTTGGCCATGATTCCATACTTGGTGAAAACTCGCCTACTTTCCTTGGCAAGGGAAATCACTTCCTTCACAAATACTTCTCTTGAAACTTTCATGTTGACGAGATCAGTTGCTAGGGTCAAAACACGATTGGCAAGATTCAAGATGTCTCTCAGCTCTTTCTCAATTTTCAGCGAGGCATTTCCAATGAAGTCTCTCACAAGAAGTGCTCTTTCTTTGATGTTGAATGCTCGAATGAACTCCACTAGTTGTTTCCACTTGGCTGTAATTTGCAAAGCTTCCAATTTAGCTATGACGTCCATTTTGGCCCATGCCGCTTTGATCTTGCCAGAAACATCGATTGCACGCAACTGTTTGATAATGTTTAAGACTTCTGCTGTGACATTTTTGGCAATCATTTGCAGTTTTTCGATGGAGAGGTTCACAAGTTCATCAGGACGCATCTTCAGAAGCTTTTGCAAGGTTTTGTTCAGAATCATTGCCGAACTATTGTAAACCAGAATAGCCCTTCGGCTCAGGTTAAGTCCCAGGCTAAGTGACTCGTTTAAAATCATCTTTGACAGATTGAAGAACTTCATGCCCTTTTCAATAGTCAAATCCAAGATCTCTTCAGCTGACTTTTGTGAGTTGTGGCGGATAAAAGCAATCAGAGCCGATATGTTAGTGTAAACGGTGTGGTTAACTAATTTTAGTGCCTCGGACGCGATGTTCAAGGAAACAAGAACAGCCTTATCCATGACTTGGCCAATAGGAACACGTCGGATAGTGATGTTGCGTACTTTGTACATTACCTCGAATGCCTGTGGAATAAGGGGTTTGACAACTGGTTCCAAATATTTAGTAACATTGTTCTTTACGTCAAGAGTGAAATTGCGCACTTGATGGACAATCCTAAGTACAATAGGGTAGGCTTTTCTTTCGAATGAAATGGAAACGTCCTTCGCAAACTTAATGAGAGGGAAGCGAGTCTGTAGATCTGAGTAGGCAGTTAGAATGACCTTCCTAACCTGGATGGTAATGTTTCTGAATTCTTTTGTCAAGTTCTTGGCCAGATGGATAGCTTGAAGGGTGACATTCGTCATCAGCTTGGGCAGAATCCTTGTCAAATTGTTTGTGAAATTCAGCGCTGTTTGACGCAATAGACAGGCTTTCTTAAAGAGGACCTCTACTTTAGGTCGTAGGGTCTTGTTAAGCTGTTCGAAATTCTGCAGGAAAGTCTTATTCAGCAGCTTGAAATGCTCCTCGATCGTCTTGTTGAAAACGGTAATGTTGCGAACGCTTGTTGTCAGGTTCTTTGCAAAGATTGTTACATTCCTAAGTGAACAGGATGCATTGAAGTTGCAAGTGAACTTTTTCATCTCAAGCATGTACTGGTCATAAATGGGGCCAAGCTTTTTCCCGCGCAATTCAACTTCTCTAAGCCTCACAATTAGCTCGCGAGTTTTGATCTGTACTCTCTCCACGAGTTGCGCGGTTATAATTTGAACCCTTTGGGAAACACGCTTGGCAATATCACCAACCCTTTCTCCACGCACCATTACTGAATTCGCCATGAGGGATAGATTTTTGGCCCAGCCTTGTAGATCCCGGCTGATATTCTGGAGATGGATGGTTATATTTCCAATTATGGGAGGAAGCACCTCTCTACGGAGCCGTCTATATGCAACCGTGGCATTCTGGTGAATCGTATTGTAAAACTCCGAGGCATTACCGATGATGTGTGTAAAGTTGGCGCTACCAATCATTCTTGTAAGGTTGTTGATAGTATTGTTCAGTGACCTCAGAGTGATGTTCAAAAGTCGGAGTGACATGTTGTGAGCCACGCTTGTAATATTCTGCATCAATCCCTTGTAGTTGTAAGTCTTGTATTCAGCGTAAATCTTAAGAACGGTAGGCTTGATCTTAGCTTCCAACTTCTTGACAAGCCCTTCGACCTCCTTAGTCAGGTTTTTCGTCATTAGGACAGTCAGGTTGTAGAACCTCACGGTCACATTCCTGAGTAGGGTCTTAAACACTTGGGCTTGGTTCACCAGAGTAGCTACGGCTGAAGTATTCCACGTGAACGAAATAAGACTAGCCTCAGAATTCAGGATGTACATCAACCGTGATTCATTTGCTACATTTTCTCCAAGTTTGCGTTGGATCGTAACCTGAAGGCGATTGGCGTTCGGCATTTCTCCCACCACTTGTCCAGAGATACGAGGCGTGACAGTAACATTAAAAACGATGCTTCTTGAGGCTGGGTTAAATTTAATGAACCATCCTACCTTGTTGTTCTGGTAGCTTACAAACGTGCTGGCGACATAGTTCTTCCAGTCAAACCTTCCGGTGAAACCAGCGGTACGATTGAACGCAGAGAAGGTCAAGAAAAGGGACCTCGTTTCGGTGTCTAGCTTTTCAGTCAAGGTCAGCGTTTGCTTGAAGATGGTTAAGCCTGAGGTGAAGGTCTTAGTGAGTTTATCGTAGTCACAGACAACCCGAAGTGATTTCTCAAAACCTTTCAAATTGACAGCTATTCCCATGTCGTCCATACTCTTCCAGTTAGCCTCAAAATCCACTGGTGTTCCAGGCAAAACATCTACAGAAATTGCTAGTTTTCGGTCTTCTTCAATAAAATCGATCATGTGGTTCCATGTCCTCTTAAAGGCTGAAATCTCCGTTGTGAAGTACAGGCCGCGGTCTTGAGTAAAGACTCCTCTCACCGTCAGGGGATAAACGGGGAAAATTTCAAAGTGACCTTCATAGTTCCCTGTTTTCCTGTTGAGGTCAAATTGATTTTCGATTTTCTTGCCAAGAACATCCAAGACGCTGTTGAATGAAAAGCCATTATTCCTGTTCCAGGTAGTCGTCCACGTAAAAGGTTTGCTTGGAATCAATTCCACTCTGAGATTTACTGATTTGCGTTGCTTGTACCAAATTAGGGACTGAGTGACCGTTTTGTCGGGCTGATACTCGACGACAAGAGTGTTGGAAAGTTCCTTAGAAGTGTTTCTGAAAACTCCTGTCACCGAAACTTTCTTGCCTTTAGAATAAATCACAGCGAACCTGCCTTCATGATAAGAATCCTCGGTGTTAGAGTAGTTGTAATAAGAAGCATCCCAGCCATGCTCGAAGGAGTAGCCCATCGCTCTAAGATTGTACTGATACCCAAGTTCGTGAGTCTTGTCGGTCTTGGTATAGATCAGTTTTGCGCTATCTAGGAAAATGCTTTGGCTTCCATTTCGGAGCATGCGGAACGTTAGAAGCTCTTTTACACCAGGTCTCTGGGTGACGTATGCACCTTCCCATTCAGCGACAAAGCGGCCAAGCTGTGCACGATATTGAAGTACCTTACGTTGAGTGTTATTCAAGAACATCAAAGATGATTTCGCTAGAGTAGATTTGTTCCAAAATAAGTGAACGGCTGCTTCTTTTAGGATCTTTCCATTAAGCCAAACTCCCTCAAAGCCAACATGCTTCTTTAAAACTGTGGCGTTGAATCCAATTGCTTTCTCGCTGCCATTGCGGAAGTAAAAGGTAGCATCAGCGGATCTGTTCACGATTGTTGTGTTAAAATGAATGCTTTTCAGCTCCGTTGGGTGCATGTAGCTCATCCAGGATTCAAAGAAAACTGTCTTGTTGAACTTGGCAGTTAAGCGGTTAGCAGTTTCTGTTGGGTTCTTAAACCATTGCGTCTTCAGTTCACCCGTTCTATTAAGGACCGTCAAGTTTAGAGACATACTCTTCTCCACCGAGCTGTTTGAGAAAACAGCGCAGATTTTCCCATGCGACCGACCAAGGTATTCAGGATAAATGCAAGCAGTTTTCTGGGAAGTCAGATTCTTAAAGAATCCGACAAGAGCGACACTGTAATTTTGATAGGCAGCTTGGAGGATGACTTTCTTGTTTGTCCCCAGTAAGAAGACTTTGCTCAACAGGCTGACGGATTTGTTACAGGAGCTCACGTTTAGAAGCACTCCCAAGTTGGATGGATTACGAAAGTAAACAAAAGTAGTATTCAAGGTCTTGTTCTTGACTGCAACATTAAACTTGAGTCCCTTTTCGGCCTCAGAGTTCAAAAGCGTCCAGATAGCCTCCATGCTTTGGTTAACAACTGACGCATTGAACTTGATGGATAGCTCATTCTCATTCTTCAAGTAACTCCATACAGCTTCCACTGTTTTGTTCAAGGTCGAGGCATGGAACTTGATGGATCTTTCTTTTTCATCTCTGTAATAACTCCAGGCAGCCTCTACGGTTCTGTTCATTACTGAGGCATTGAACTTGAAAGAATCTTGATGATCGCTCTTTCTGAGACTCCAGATGGCCTCAACGGTCCTATTGGAGGCGGCCGCATGGAATTTGATCGCTCTCTCGTCATCGCTCCTTACGTAACTCCAGGTGGCTTCCACAGTTTTGTTCATAGCCGAAGCATTGAACTTTATGGAATGTGCATATTCACCCCGAAGATAGCTCCAGACAGCTTTTACAGTTTTGTTCGAGGTGCAAGCATGAAATTTAATGGCACGTTCCTCTCCAATCTTCACAAAACTCGAACCAACTTCAATGGTTTTGTTCATGGCGGAAGCGTTGAATTTGATAGATCTCTGTTTCCCGTCAAAAGTGTAACTGAAGATAGTCTCAGCAGTTCTGTTGAATCCAGTAGCATTGAATTTTATGAACTTCTCATTGGTGAGGTTAACGAAGGTCCATGCTGTCTCTACCGTCTTGTTCATAGCAGATACGTTGAACTTTAAACTCCTCTCTCTGGCGAAATTCAAGAACGATAAGGTTGTTTCAAGAGTGTTATTTAGGCAGTTAGCTTTAAACTTCAATCCCTTTTCACTTGTCAAGTTGAAGAAAGTCCAGGAGGCCTCGACAGTTTTGTTGAGTGCACTGCCTGAGAACAGCAAACTCTTCTCAGTTCTTAAATTGACGAGAGTCCACGTGGATTTTACGTTCTTATTGGCAAGACTGGCGTCCAATTTCAGATTTTTCTGTTTGTCCGTACTTAGCAAGGTCCATGTGGCGTTCATCGTTTTGTTCAGGGCGCTTGCGTTGAAAATTAACTTCTTTTCATTGGGAAAGTCAAGGAAAGTCCAGGACGAGTTGATGGTCTGGTTTTCTGCGCTGGCTTTAAACTTCAAACTCTTTTCGTTTGCAAGGTTAAGGAAGATCCATGCGGCATCGATCGTCTTGTTAAGAGCACTTGCTTTAAAGTTCAAACTCTTTTTGTCTTTCACGCTTGCAAAGATCCAGGAAGAAGCGATGCTCTTGTTGAAAGCAATTGCCTGGAATTTCACGCTCTTTTCATTTTGCATGTTCAGGAAAGTCAAGGAGGAGTTCATCGTCCTATTTCCACAATGAGACTCAAATCTTAAGGTCTTCTCGGGTCCCAAGTTTAAGAAGGTCCAAGTAGCATTGTAATTCTTCTTTCCACAGCTTGCGTTGAACTTTAAGCTCTTCTGATGTTCTAAATTCAAGAAGGTCCAGAAGGAATTGATCGTCTTGTTTCCAAAACTAGCATTGAACTTCAAACTCTTCTCATTTCTCAAGTTAACTAAGGTCCATGTGGCATTGACGGTTTTATTCAGAGCGGCGGCCTCGAACTCCAAACTCCTTGCTGTATGGCGGTTGATGACAGTCCAACTTGCCCGGGCTGTTCTGTTGAGGGCGGAAACATTGAAACGTACTCCCTTTCTGTCGCCGAAATGAAAGTATGACCATATGATCTCGGCCGTCTTGTTCAGGGCAGTGACATTCATTCGTAGTTCTTTCTCTTTCCCTACATTTACGTATGTCCACATAGCCTCCAGAGTCTTATTCAGAGCCGTCGCGTTGAACTTAATGCTCTTTTCTTGTGTTAAATTATGGAAGGTTAAAACACTTTGGATGGTGTGATTCAATGCCAAGACTTTAAGTCGCATTCCTTTCTCTGTGGTGAGGTTGACGTACGACCATACCGCCTCGATGGTCTTGTTAAGGGCTGTTGCATTAAACTTCAAGCTCTGATCATTTGTTAGATTGAGGTACGTTAAGGCTGCCTCCAAGGTCTTGTTCAGGCCAGTAGCATTAAATCGAAGCCCTTGTTCTTGCCCAGCGTTGACGTATGACCAAACGGCGTCGACGGACTGGTTAAGGAGGAGTCCCTGAAACTTGACTGCTTTACTTTGTGTCAGATTCAGATACGACCAGACAGCTTCTGCTTTACTTCCAAGCACAGTGCCATTTATTTTTAAGGACCTTTCATTGGTCGAGTTGACAATACCTGTGTACCAGCTGATTACACGGTTTTTGTTTTCATGGGTTCCAGTGAATTGAATACCTTTCTCTTGCCCAGCCTCGAGATATGATCCACGAAGGGTAAAGGACTGCTGACATGGACGAGCAAACAGGCGGAGGACGCCTTCTTTCTGAGCTTTGAGATGTCTTCCTGTAAGCTCGATTCCCGCCTTTGTTGGCTTGTTGCTAAAGCTGAAAACAAAATCGTCTTCTTCCTCTCCAAGTTTTCCATTGAAGCTGATCTTGGTTTGGGTGCAAGTATGATTTGCTAGGAAACTGATGCTCTTCTTTGGGACATTAACTTCTCCAGTTGAAAACATGTACTTGCCTGGCCAGTAGGTCAAGTTACTGACATATCCATACGCATTTGAATGGTTGTAGAGCTTAGTCAACTGTGTGATGGTGTAATTGCTATATGAAGCGGACAACTGGAAACCCATATCTCGATAAGGGCTGTCCACCCCCGAGTTGTTGAAAAAGTGACCATTAACAACGATTGGGTGTCCATAAACAGCGTCCTTTCCAGAATACGTGAGATTCACCGCGTGCGTTTTGTTGTTGTAAGTTGCTTTGAACTTGCCAAAATTTAAGCCAAGAGCAGCAGTAGACACACTGAAAAGTTTGCCATCCTTTTTAAACCACATAGTTCCATTTGCCTCCAGGTTTCGCTCCCACGTTGCTCCAGGTGTGGAAATTACAGCAATCACATCATATTTGTTATCGTCTTCAGTTTGCAAGCGTTCTGCTATCAACTGATATTTAGTGAGCTTAGGGTCTGTGCGTGTCATTGAAATACTGAAGGAAGATGGACCAGAAAATGGGAAGTACGGTGACTCGTAGTCACGGTAAGCCAAAGGCACAGACAGCTGACTGCAGAACGTAAGTCCAAGTACACGTGTCAAGTTCAGGCAAGGTGCAGGCTGTTGGAAAGATGAAAACAGGAGTTTTACAATGTGATGAAAAGTTAAAGGGAAATGACAAACCTAGTAATGCATATTAACAATTTCAAAATATTGCTTTTTCTTTATTTTTTGGGCGTAAAAGTTTTCCTTAACTCTTACAACAAAAAAATAACTCCTAAATTTTGTCGGATTAAGCTCTACTTCCGGGTAACACATTTTATTTCTATCTTATTTCTTAAGAGAGTTCCATCCTACCAGCTGTAGCTTTGCTTTGTTCTAAGCATGTCATGCATCGTCTTAAATAAGTAACAATGCATTAGACTCTGTCCTTAAATGCTTACCTCAATCCTTCTCGGCGCCCCTTCAATAGCTAATTTCTCGTCGTTGAGAGTAACGAAAAGTGATGACCTACGAGAAAATGAACCCTTTCAGCCCCAAGAGTGACAAGCATCTAATTTCTGCTCATAGTAATACAGCCGAGTCATTCGTCAAGATCATGAGAATGTAGGAGATGATTGCCAATCCATAGAACTTTGATTGGAAAACAAATTCTCCTTGCCAGTTCCAAAAGAAATGTGTAGTTTAGAGGTATAGGGAACATGCATACTGATGTTAAGGTTGTAAAGGGTTAAAAAAGACTTATCATGTAACACCACAATCATCATTAAGTAAGACTGTGTTTCCTACCACAATGATGGCATCATGAAATGGAAAGATGTCAATAGAAAAGAAAAGCTTTACTTACGATACGTTGACAAACTGAACAGGTTCCTCTGGGACACCCAGTTCAAATTTCAAGATTTCTCCTTGCGCATATGATGCATTTCCCTTGAGGTGTGTTACAGTGTACAATGAGGAATTGACAAGGACGCCAGCTTCGGCATACACTGCGCTCACTCCCATACGACCACTCACGTCCACAATAGCACTACAAAACAAAAATGCCATCGACAAGTGAGACGCGGTTTAGGAAAAAAGACCGCACAATGGGCAACACTGCTGTAAGGCAGATGAACGGTTCCCTCGACTCCCTGGAAAATCTAATCAATCCTTCATTCTTCAGCTTCCCTTCGTTGTTAACTATGACAACGATGGAGCAAATCCGAAAAAGTTATATATTCATATATAAATACATAAAAACTAAGATCAACCCCTTTAGCGATCGCGCCTTAAATAGCTTGTTAGGAGATTTAAGTAAACATCTTAAGGGTGCAATGCCAGTCCGTATTTTGTTTTGTCACTCACTTATTTTATCATGTTTTTGGGGAGACTTTACAAAATTACCACTTCAAGTGGACACTTAAATATATTTTAATTTAAGTTTCATGTGAGCGAAGGTTTAACATGTCACGAATATGATGCGAGAATCTTTTAAACTTGCTGATTACCAGGCCGATACTAATGATAATCGGTAAAAAAAAAACTCATCCACTTTAAATCTGATTTAAAACTCAACTTGTCTTTATACAAACACTGCACACTGTCCTCAATTATTTTACCTGGGTTTGACATGCCCACGTATATCAAAACGCATCTTTCCCCAAAACATGTTCCTGATGTCAAACTTCCCGGCGAGTTCCACTGAGGCCACAGTGGTTCCCTTGGCGCTCATTTTAAGCGGAAGACCAAGGATGGTTGGGACAGTAGTCTTAGCGTCCAGGAACATCATGCTTTTACTGAAGCTCTTCTTGCCTCCCTTAGCTAAAGCAATCAAGATGTCGATCACGTTGATTTTGTCCACTTCGTCATTCAACCAGCTAATGTCGTCAAAGCTGAGAAGTCTCAATTCGTTACCAAACATTTTCACAGAAACAGCCCCAGATGGGTGATGCTTACGGTTGTCCATCTACAAAGAAGTAACGAAATATGAATTCTTTGAAATGAAAAATCCAAGGTTTTTTCAGGCTTTAGACAAGATGTCGTTAACAAACGAAGATGAATAACGAAACGTGACAAAAACTGATCGATTTTATTGACAAAAATTTAATTCAGTGCACTGGAACACAATCATGAAAGAAAAGAAAAATTTAAAAAGGGGTTAAAAATGAGAAATCTGACATATGAATTTAAGATCTAGTCAATCTCCAAGCTATCATCTAAGATCACACTTTGTTGAAAGTTTTTTTTGGTATTATTTCATATGATTGTACACGTCCTAATAGGATGAAACTGACAGGCAAGTTATGTATTATTAACATCAACAAACACCCTGCAAATAATCACATCGTGTTTAGTTCCTGTAGCTTTTTCCTCATTTTCACTTTCTACTAATGACAACATTATTCCAAAACGTTCTCTTCAATCAGTCTCTCTCGATTATTGTTAACCATAAAAAAACCACAACTGTGGCCACATACCCAGTCGCAGCGAAAACCACTCTGCGTACAAACTTACCATATGGTGCAATTTGTTTAAATGATTTTCCACCTTGTTCAAGTCCTCGTTCAAGCTCCTCTTTTGTTTGAGTTTCCAGGTCTTCACAGTTTTCTCCTCCTTATCCCTCTCCTCGTGAGGCTTCAGGTTGAACATCTGCATGATGCGATCGTCAGGGAAATAACCGTCTTCTCCGAAAAACTGCTCGATAAGAATCTCGAACCCTTCGAAGCGTGCGCCTGCCTCCAGGACATTGATGGATGTTCCGAGGACGTCGACGGTAACGTTAACCATGGCACTGCGTGGGAAGAAACTGGTCGGATGATAAATAAGGTGGCTCTGAGCTGATCCACCGAACCTCAGGACATCTGTTAAATGTGAACACAAGAAAATTGAAATTGTGTTTTGTCACTAAAGTTTTGAGAACCTTCATCCTTATTCCGCTGCAACACCTGAAATCGAGTTAGCTTGGAGAATTTGGCTTTCAAAAAACTTACATTAACCTAATTGATATTCTTCTCTCTTTTCGTCAATTGTCTTCTTAATATTGTATTGCTCTTGTGAAAGAGGAATTATGTCTACCCCACTCGTGCAAATTGATCTTACCGCTGTAAAATGAGCCTTCCCAAGCACGTGAAAACCTTAATCTGTTCAGGTTGAACTCTCGTAGCTTCATTCCATTGAGGGCGTCTTTCATCATTTCAGCTTGAGGCAGACCATGAACTGGCTCTGTGGAGTCCATGGCGTTAGTCATGTGGGACCAAACAAAAGAACCAACTTGATTGTTCACTTCATTCTTCAGGATTTCGGCGATGCTCCTGAACACCTCTGGACTTGGGCACTTTGTGAGGGCAAGATAAGCTGCGATACGGATTTCAACATCCACGTTAAATTCGCCATAGATCTGCAAGACCTGGTCTGTCATCTTCTTACTGCAAGGCAAGCGACGAAGGGCCTCAAGTGCTGCGATGCTCATGTTCACGGGTGCTTCTAAGTTCCAGGCACAATTGAGTAAGACATTTTCAGCTTTTAAAGGTCGACCAGCGTTTCCTATGGCCTTCAGGGTGATGATAAAGTTCTCAAAATCTTCCGGTGTTTTGCCCTTGCATTCTTGACCCAGACGGGACAAGAAGAAGTTTTCAGCCTTTGTAATGGGGTTTTCTGGATCCTGAAAAGAAAATTGATAATATCAGAAATCTTTTATGAAAGCCTTTTGATACTACTACTGATAACAATAATAATTATTATGATTAGTGATAATGATGATGATGATAATGATAGTTATACTATTACTAAGGAAAATTACATTATCGATAATAATGACGATTGTCGTGATAATGACAACTATTGTTTTCATGGCGTTAAATCCACGTAAATACTATCATCTTATGCGCGCTTTAAGGTGAAGTGTTTCAATAACAATTTAAGTCTCAGCAAAGTTTAAATACAGAAGGAAAAAACAAGGACTACCATGTTTAACTTGAAAAATAACCAAACATTCGTATTTTGCATGTGCTAATCTAAGAATACACATTTTGAGGGATACTCTACAACTTAACCTTTACCCCTCAACTCCCACGATCCACTTAATAACTCCTCCTACTCACTGCCATACTTTTCCTTGTAAATTACACAGGAGAGTATAGCCTTATTCCAAAATAACGGCCTCTAGCTGAAAAGCTTTTCTCTTCTCATAACCTTTTTACAAGACAACTTATTGGAATTGGAAGGAGATGTTACATGCTAATCTTTTAAAGCTTTTATCAGACTGGTACAGTATCGTTACCTTTACCTGATCATTACATTCCTGTGGCTTGCTTTCGCAAACTATGTGAATGAGTGTTCCAAGAGTCAACATGGCGGTTCTTCCAGGGTTCTCCTCACACAGCTCTAACACGTGCTCGACTGTCTCCTTTGTGGGATTTCCTGCCATAGCCAATCCAGCGAGAAACATGTTACCACGCTCATGGTTGACCAGCTTCTTCCTGATGGCATTGCTCATTACTTTTGCGCATCCTCCTGTACCACAGTGAGGCAGAGCATCGTAGAAGTATTCGCTAAAAGAGAGAAAAAGGAACGTAACATCAGTAAAGGAAATCTCATGTTCTATGCGTGGATAACTAAGGGTTCACACAATCAAAAATTTTCTAAACCGCTGTCTTCGACTTTCGCATCAAGTTAGCTGAAATTGACTATGCTGTTGTTTACTATGTTACAAAATAAAAAGTAAGAAATTGCTTCTAATCCTGTGAATTTGGAGGATATTCAACTATATTTTTTCTGATATTTGATATATGATTGGTGGTGCGCGATTACTCCAACAAAATTCGCCGAAAAGCACTTTCATGTGACATTTTTTTCTCGTGTAACGACATTGCCAAAACTTCAATATCAAGCCTGTGGACAGTGTTTCTACGTAGAGAAAAAAATTTCACTTACCGCATTTTAGGATCTTCTTCGTTATGGATTTTCTGCCACAAAGTTTCCATGGCTGGCGTGCTAAGCTTGCGGATGCTAAACACAAGGTTAGAGAAGTGCTGGGCCGACTCGGGCTTTGTTGACTGTTTCGACTCCTTACTTAGGCGGCTTGCCCAGTAAAATGCATCCGTAATAGCTTCCTGGTTAGACTGGGGCTGAGCATGGGCATACCTCAGTGAAACTGGGCGAAGTCTCTCTAAAAATGTAACAAAAATACTATGTTTAGAAAGTAAGACCTGAAGTCCAAATTTCAAGTATATGTTTAACTTTTTCACCCTCGTGTTGTCACAAATATGATCGATAGTTTAACATACGGGAGATTGTTATTAATTTCCCTTATTTTCTCTTTTAGAACGCTGCTCTTGAGGTTTTATTATTCAAATTATTTGATTCTTTTCCATGGGTATTGCCATTAAACGAGGTCTACTCGTTTAGTGACTGGCTTTGAACAAAAGGAAAGGGAAAAAATAATCGCAATAACCACAATTACATCCAGCTGACTATCATATCCACCTAATGTTTATAAACTGCTATGAGCTCAGGATTGCTTACGATTTACATGAGCTGATTAAAAGAAAGTACAAATATCAAAATAAATCACCTACCGAGAGGTACTGCAGTTTCAGATGCGGTGAGGATAGACTGCAATTCCAAAACTTGTCTATAAAGGAACGAAAATATATCATTATGATAGAGAAGAATGACTCTTTATAACCCTTTAACCCCCTCCGCCCCAAGGGTAACTAACAACCAATATCTCCCGACCATACCACCCCTGAATCAAGCATTAAGATCACGAAAAAAAGAGAAATGATCACTAACTAAAGAGAATCTTGATTGTCAATTATTCTCTCCGTCGATACCTTAGGAAATGAGTAGAACACGATGTGGAGAATGTACCTACTGCAGTAACGTAAATGGCAATTTGGTGAAATTTCGTCAGAATCGTCACTTTCGCCAAATTCGTAAGCTTTTTGGGGCCCTTTTATATCATATCTACTCATATCTACTTACTCGTATAATTTCGTCAGCAACCTTGGCGAAATTTCGTCTGAATCGTCACTTTTGGCTGAATTTCCACAGATTGACAAATTTCGTAAAATCCGTCAACATTGTCAACAAAATTTCGTAAAATCTGCCATTTTTGTTACTACATGCATTTCTGGACATTTCTTGCATGCTGATGCAGAAGGGTTAAGTGTGAAAGTGAAAAAAATTACTAATTAGAAGCTATGAGATTATCAATGAGTAATGATTACTTTGAAATACATGCCCAAATTAGAAATCGCTGTACTTCTTAAACAAAACCATACCAGTCGATTTTACTTTGAGTTAATTCATCACACAGAACATCTGCTACCTTATTTTAGTTATTGCTCCAGAGGCATTCTTGTAACCGCCAGAGAACGGGCGGAAAAGATGGTCCTCCTCACACACTACCTTCTGGGTGCGTTTTTTTGCGGTCAGGTACAGCTTACATGTGCTGTTTGAATGTAGTAGGCTGATGGGCTGTTAAAAAAAAAAAAACAAACAAAACAAAACAAAAAGGAGATAGTTTCGCAACGACGATTTAAGATTTAAAACGCAGCTAAAGGTTTCCTTAAATATTGGATGACTATAACGGTATAAAGAGACAGTCGACGTCACATGGTATTCCTTTGGTTGCAATGCAATCCATGTCACGCTTTCGTCCTTATTTGCCGAGTATTTTATTTGACTAAGAAACTATCGTGGTTATTGCGTGAATAAGTTGTCCCTGTTTTACTCCTGTTTGAATTTTGGACCTCGATGTTCTTTACAACTGTCAAGCTTACGCTTGTGTTTAGTGGCTCGACTTGTAGACAAAGCTACTTGACCCTTTGAAAACAGTGATAGAAAAACCTCTCTGGTTACCTTTTCTTCATAAGAATGGACGTGAATGCCGATGTCGGTCTGTGCACGATCTGTACACTCAGTCAGATTGCGTGTCTTGTAAACGATTTTCGGGCGTCTGCTCAGATGGCGTGATTTAATCTCATAACGCGCCTTGCACCTACCAACGACATCGTCCTACAATGCAAGACAAAACAATACTTAAGATTAATCTCCTTTATACATTTAGTTATAAGAGAAGCATTATGGACGATATAACTCTTTTCACAAGATACGCCATGACGTCCTTAAGACTTTCTAAGCCAACTGAGAAACTCTGTTGAGAAAAGCGATATTTCAAACAGAATTATGAGTCAACGAAGAAACAACAGGAACACACGAAAGATAAATGATCGGGCAAACACGTACAAAGACATCATTTTGGTTGTATCCAATGAGTTTATAACGTAAATAGGCCACCGTAAAGAGTTTCAAAGCTGACGTTTCGAGAGTTGGCCCGTCGTCAAAGCGAATGATTGTTTAGGAATGAGACTATAATTAAGAGATGAGACAATAAAAATGTACGTATCGTAAATAAGAAGGGCCACCTTTTTCAAATGCACTAATAAGCTAACTATTTAACCCACATGAGTGACCAGAACAGAACTTCTCCTGACAAAATCAATTCAATAGCAAGCAGATAACTGATGAGAATTAGGAATGATCAGTAATCGATCAAAAACTAAATTCTCCGAACCGACCACGTGAAAATTGTATGGCAGACTGTAAGGAGAATAAATAATGAAATTTTTTTAGAATGCAAAGGATAAACTAAGGATTTATCTCTTTATAATTTGCAACATCATGTAAACGCTGACACCCTATTCAAATCGATAACGTTAACCAATTATAGTTCAAAATTGCTCAAAAATATAGAAGGAACAGCTAAAAGTCCAAATGGAGCGTGGATGGGCAATATTGGAGCAGATTTCGTCAGATTCTATTCCAGCTCGACTTACATATAAGAATCAGCATAACAGAAATCTTACCTCCTCTAGGGTGGCATGATCCTCAACAAACTGCACCTGAAGTGCACTGAGGATACCTCTCTTGATGTTCAAAACATGAGAAGGCTCCTCTGGATGGGCGAGGATCTCAGTGATGCGTCCTGCATCCATTCTGAATACAAGGTCTTGAGCTTGAAGCTCTTCAGCAAAAGCTGTTGATCCCTGGGATATTTGATAATCCAAGGGACCGGGGTTCTTGCTCTGTGCTTCCCAGAGCTCAACTGTGTCGATCTGGAAGATAAACAGGTTTGACGAGTTTTCAACCTTAAGAAAGAACTAGTTTTTTTCGGCTGTAGTAAGTGGGCGGAGTAGATTTCGACTTTCAATCTCTGTATTTTGTCATGGGAGCAAGTTAGATGTCACAAGTAATCTAATAGTTGAAGAGATTGAAAACTGAAGTTTACTTTTCTTGTTATAGAATTTCATTTCTTTTTCGAAACAACGCGCCCGCCCCCCATCCCACCCCTATTGTAATAAATAATCTTAAGGGAAGTTTCAGCATACTGCGAAAGTAGACTTTATTTACCATTTTTAACGTGCAAAAAAAACGTTTGAGAGCATTGGCGAAGTTCCACAATCCACAATGCAAACTTGTAAGACAATTAATCACCAAAGGAAAACATATGCGAAAATACTCGAAGAGGCGGTCTGGCATGCGATATGGAAATATGATGAATTTTGAGGGGTACAAAGTGCACTCTTAAGAAATAATTTTTCATGTTTACAGGAACTTCAGACGCCTTATTTCGCGTTTCTGCGTCATTGCGTTGGAGGCGACTGTACGCCAGTACAGCTCTTGTATTAAGCAGTCAATGAACAGTTCTTTCATTAAGCAGTTGATTAGCCACGGTAAAAGTTTGAAAAAGAAAGAAAAAACCTCTTTTGTAACCTACAAATGAAGCACATGACTACTCGGGGTCTTAAGTGTAAGGAATGTTTTTTCAATACATTTCTTGCCAGATTTCGTGGCATTTCCGCTTTTACTTGCATTGAGCTATTTCAAGACGTGAAAGCCATCGCGGTGGTCATTGGTCACTTTAGAATATGGATTACACAGCTCTTATTTAGTCTTGCAGCAACATGTTTCGTGCTGAGGTAAAGTCAAATCCATATTTCTTCTGTCTCGGTGCTATTCTGAGGTCAAAATTCACGTTGGAAGCGATATGTTTGTGAAACGACCGATTGCACATAGGATATAACTTAAAGTGGATAAGTTTACCGCAAACTGAACATTGACCTCGGAGGAATGAGAGACAAATGAGCATTAAAATTATCTTTTTTCCTATAAGGCCGGATGTTGTCTGACTCGGCATGCAGTTAGATGCGTGATGAATATTCTGGTATCCTATCTTATGCATTTCTCCTACAGTTCACTCGCGTTCACTAAATAAATCAACTTTTTTTATTTTTCGTTGAGCAGAGCGCAAGTTTTCAGCAGTTGCATGATCAGTTGAAATGATGAAATCGATCCTTGTCAATTTCATCCTTTCATCATTTAATACTGTACGTTTCAATTGCGAGGGAATTCTGTTTGGTACTCGATTAATATCCATTCTGATGGGATCGATGAATAAGAAAAACAATCTGGTCAGTCTCTTGGTTGAGAACTCTCATTGAGTATTTCCAGATCAAAATGCTCAATTCATTGACAAGTTCATACGACATAAGAAGTAAGATTTTGGTTGGGTCCACAATTCTCTCGCGAGCTTTCTCGCGCGCGCTCTTTGGAAATGGCTAAAAATAATCATTTGAAACTCGACTTTGGACCAGTTAGACCAGTTTTGTTTTCACGATTTCTGCTCTCCTGACCTCTCCATGGAAAAGCTGTCTCAATTTTCGTCTTCAATCCATCACAATCAATTTAACTGAAGTACAAACCCCATCAAAGCCTTGTTTTATACTAGCCGTTGACAAACAAGTGCAATCGTAAAAAAAAGTCAGCGAGCGTCGATTCTCTCCAATTGGAAAAAAAAGATCGTCATGTTTTGTAAAATTATAGCTTCGAGTTCTTAAAATCCATAGATTATCCATCAGGCTTTTGCATACCGTCCGGTTAAGAAGTGAATCACCCATTCAGACAGAGTATCAGTAGCACTCAATTATCTAAAACGTTACGTAACGAAGACAGAAATGCGAACACGGAATGGATGCCAAAATGTGAAATTGAAACGACAGAATCAACATACAGTTTTAATCCTCGAAAGGCGGGAAGGGGATGGGGAAGCTTTACTCACTTCAAGAGCTCAAAAAATTTTACGAAGCAAGAGCTGAAGAGACAAAACTACAGTTGTTTTGATACCCTAATCTCTAAGAAAGCATTCATTTTGCAGACCGATACATGAACTTATTGGCAAAATCAAGTATTACGACAACATACAGATTCTCAATTGGATCCCCTCTTCACAGCGTATCTTTGCTTCTCGAAAAGTTCGAAGGAATTACCCTAGGGGTAACCGGGCGCGGAGGATAACACGAAATATTTGGGAAAGAGTTGCGGCGAGTCATCGACATATTTTATCATCAAAGAAAGCGATTTTGTTCGCAAAGGTCAAATCTTTTTTCAAAGTTTCGAGACCTAAGAACCTTCCTGGTGAAAATGAATCAGTCTAACAGTGGATTAGCGGGTGGGATAAGACCAGATCAGGGGAATATTGCGGGATTGGATGAAAATTACATCCAATAACAAAAATAAGGCAGCATTTCACACGAAACAAAAATCGCTTTTTTGTAATGCTTCAAAACTAATGATTGACTGCAAAGATTAGTTTCCTCGATTATGGTGGTCTTATCAAGTTGAATAGTTCTTACGAAGAGTTATTTTTCGAAACAACAACCTCGTGACTAAAGAAAAAACATCCAATCAATCAATAAGTATCGAGTTTCGAGAGTCTATAAAAAAAACTTACCTTCAAGACATGCTGACATGGTGCAATGGACTTGACGACACATCTTGCGCGGATTTTCAACCCTGAGCGGGCTGAAGACGAGCCTGCAACACTACTTATTGATTCTCCTTCATAATTGTAAGGAAACTCTTTTAAATGATGAAATCTGTTCGACCCTAGATAAAGGAAAAGCAGGAAGCAAGGTCAAACATCTGAAAAGTGTGCAAAACTTGTAACGCAACACAGGTGCCCCGTGACTTTTGCCAAAGTCCTGCGCGTGCTTCCAGCGTGCTGTAAGCCAATCAAACCCCATGCATTCTGTAGAATTGATTGTCAACAAGTCCGTCGGAGATTCGATGTCATTTCCGGAATTTTTTTTTTGGCTACCGCGAATCCCATGACTCAGAATTGTTCAAGAAGAAAACGCAAGCTTGGAAGAAAACACCTAATAATGATTGCAAAGCTATGTGACAGTACTCCTTTAGTGATCTCAAACGGCAAAATCCCACAGATCAAATTAATACTGTGGCAATCTGCCATTTTGGAAAACGTTCACATCTAAAGGGTCGACATCTTCGCTTAAAACAAATGTAGAACATGTAAACTTTACTTACTCTTGTCGCATTCCGGCGGCCTCTCTCCATGAAGAGACGTGGGCGCTACAAGAAATGTACGAAAGTAAATCGTTAATCAAGGTATCGAGCTTCCAGAGCAACCAAGATACTATGACATAATTAAAAACAGGAGGAACAATAAACAATTCAGGAGAACCTGAAACAAGATTAACCAAGGATATAAATAGTTATTGCCCATAATTTTTCTGTTTCCCTCCAGCATTCAACATATATCTTTTCTATTAAGTCCCCTCGGGAAAGAACCAGAGCAGTACGATAGAAAACCGATGTGTCCCCGAGATATCGACGGATTTCGTGTTCTTGGCTTGCTCGGGCAATTTGTGACCAAACTTGCCTCTGTACAAGAGCGAATTTTGACAATTTGACAACATGTCGTTGGAAAATCGTTCTATGTTTCTGCGATTAGAGGGACAACAGCCAATAAGAACGCAGAACGAGCGAAATCGACAGAGCTGAAAATTTGCAAATCATCTCGAAATAGGGCACACGCAAACAAATGCTGCAGCCAGAAACGATGCAAAATCGATGGAGCCCTGTATTTTGAGTGGAAAATCCTAATCTGATCGTCAAAGAATAAAACCTTTCTTGAAGTAAAACGAAAGCGATAGAATCACGTACCCGCAAATGCCCCAGTGGCCAACAACACGAATAAAATGGATCTCATATCGCGTTGTAGATCCAAAGTGCGACTGCAGAGAACTTGCAAGCTCTCTTCTTTTTTACAGAGCCACTCCTCACCCCTGGTGAGAACAAAAGGGTACCGATCGATAAACGCCAGCGGAGATGAGTGACGTCTAGAACTGAAAGTGGCCAATCAGCACTCAGTTTAGAAATAAAACAATAAAAATTTTCCAATCAGAGCCGATATACTGCGTAGCTGAGTCAAAGTTCAAATGTGTTCTCTTACGGCAAATCAGCCAATGAAAACGAGCGTTTTGTGTTCGGAAGAATGAAATCTAATGACATCCTTTCACAACAACAAAAGAGTCCAAAAGTACAACATTAGGATTATACAGATCTTGTTACTTGACTAAAGGAAACGTTTTAAAACCACCCACAGTCTCTAAAACAGAATATTATGACGAAAACCCTTAAACGCAAAATATTAAAGCAGATGAACTGTTGTGGCAAAGTGTAAATCTCCCATCAAATGCGGGCTTTCGGTGCGCGTGGTTTAACCCGAGCTCTTAAGGCATTGAGTCGAAAAATAAGGTCTGTCTAGAATTTAATCCAAGTATAACGGTGCGACCATAAATCGTGAAAGATTAGCACTGTCACTGCGGAGAAATAAAAGGGAAAAAAAACCTAGTCAATCAATCAATAAATCTCTAGTGAGGTCAAAGTGTCAGAGCTCAAAAAAGACAGAAAATTGATGCAAACACCCCTTGATCATGCTTTATCACGAGTGGTCTTATCAGAAAATGATAATAGTAAGCTGGCAGGGCGCAAGGTAAATTGTGGTAAGATATTTCACAAAAAGATTCTGGTCATGAAATTGTATGATTCCTCAAAGGTCTAGAAACGTACTTTATGCTCTCGATCAGTGGGTTAGGTAACGCGTTTTTTTTTTTTTTTCTTTTTTTTTTTCGCTCGCTCGTACGTGTTCAGTTCTATTTTTCCAGTCGGGCCGTTTGTACGAAAACGGGATACTCTTGCAATCACATACGGAAACATTACTATCGGAGGACAGATGGCGGCCGGGTGGGGGGTGGGGGTGTGTCAGAAAATCTGAATGTCTTTAATGTTTAAGTGCTCTCCTTTATTTAGTCGAAAATCAGCTATTACTTTAAAAAAAAAACTTTTACACTAATACTCTAAGAAATAGAAGAAAATCTTCCCATCAAGTTTTGTCCCGTACAGAAGAATATCTACGAAATTCAAAACTCATGCCATAAACCTCACATGAGAGACTTCATCTCTTTTTAGATACCTCGCCCCCCTAGGAAAAGAGATCCTGTCCAAGAAGATATTTAAGACAACTTAAACGGTCCAGGCAAATGAAAATTTCATTCCTTGCATGAGCTTTACAGCACAAATAACATAAAAAATAGCTACGCAATCCTCACGATATTCGGAAAGTGCTGACATCTTGGCGATGAAATATTCCACTTGAAAATTGTAATAAAAAGGATGGAAAATATACACTTCGCGGTGGTCGCACGCGCGAAGGCACGAAAACTTCCTCTACCTCTGCCACTTGCGTCACATATTTTATTCACAATATGACCGGAAATTCTTCACTACTTTATGAGCTTCATATCCGATGATTTCCTTTCTGCTTTTAGCTACTATCTCTTAAAACGCTGGTTTATTATCTTTACGCTCAGCTGCCACTTCAACTTTCCGCTCAACAATACCGCTTAAAAACCTGAGCATAACGTTACAGATTGATGCTCTTCTCTCCATAAGACAAGACAAGCCTTCCTTTTTATGCTTCAAGTTTTTTTAGTTGATAATTTGTACCCTTGGTGATTAATCAGATTAAACATGACGATGCAATCTTATTTCCGGGATTTCACCCTGAGACTACCATATCGTCCACTCTAATCACGAAAAACCCGACAACAGGACCATTGCACTGCTGTAAGAATCTTGCTGAAAGCTTTTCAATAAAACTCGTCAAATTCACATCAACGCCGCTGACGTTTACTGATAAAACACGAGATAACAAAAGCTGTTCGCTTATGTCAGCAAAAATTACTTTTGAAAAAATTTAGGTTACTGACACCATGCATTAGCAGGTCAAGACAACGCTTAAGATTATGCCTCATAAAGTTACCTTAGGCAAACATAACCTAGCACTTTCCAAAACATATGATATCCATTTTTAAGACTCTTATCATAACAGAACGGAAATGAACTCGCCCTAGGCAATAGTTATTCCCGTACCGCCAAACGCTGCAAAGTGCTATATATTGTACATGTACAATCCTCCTTCTATAAACATGATAAAAATGGAAGATAATTCCTTTTTATCGACTGAGTTGGCCAGTGTAAAGAGTTTCTAAAACTGACGTTTTGAGCGTTAGCCCTTCGTCAGAGAGCTTCAAGGCATATGGATCCTACAAACACATTGATTTTTACTCAGGCTGAAATTGCGAGACTTGCACCATTCTAACAGTCGGAGTTATCTAGATTCATCTGAACACTGAGTCTCGTGACTTCACGCTTAGTTTCGCTCGCGTAAGTACTCTTGTTTTCATCAGTACAAAGAGTCGAGATCAATTGATAACAGAAAGTTTAATTTCCCTATTGTTGAGATATGCACGACTAAGAATAAGCCGTTGATCAATGAATAGAAGCAGTGACCCTCTATGACTTAAGCCACGCTCTCTATGCCGTGAATTATTTCAATTCTCTTATACAAGTTACAGCTTTCATCAGCTTTAGTTCCTTCTCTGACAGAAAAAAATACTTGTCTCAAGCAGGTTATAATGGAGAAAGTTTCAACAAAAGAAAGATCTGCTTAGGTACATGTAGTTACATAACGATACATTTTTTTCGCCCATTTCGTCAATTAACTGTCCTTAACTAAGAGTACCATAGAGGCTTCAACATGTTGAGTCGATAAATTATTACTCCATTAAACAGAAAGGAAGGAGGCAGTACAGTGATAAATAAATAAGCTTCATAAAGGAGAAAGAACATTGTACACGTGGATTGCAAATAACAGTGGCTGAATATTTAAAGATAATTCTTTGTAAAATTCATGAACAGAAACATCAGTGGTTCTTTTAAGGAAGGTTAAGGAATGAAAACTTCGTGACCTGTGCTTGATCATTGGCGAATCCAACTCATTCTTGAGTAGAAATGCGCCCGTTCGCCTACCCTGGTCCCAGAGGTTCTCTTCTCTCTCTCGGAGTACGATAATTCGGCGCGAAGCGCCGACCAACGAGCTGCAAAGCAGCGAGCGGAGAGAACCTCTGGTCAGGACCGTTGAGAATCTCACTTTCATGCAACCAAGCTTTGCAGCTCGTTGGTCGGCGCTTCGCGCCGAATTATCGTACTCCGAGAGAGAGAAGAGAACCTCTGTGACCAGGGTACCGTTCGCCTTGAGAAGTTCTAAACTGCTTCCCACTTAAGATAATCATGACACCCAGACCAAACAAAGCTATCTGTTTCAGTTGTAATTTATCACCCAGGTCCAGCAGATCGCCTTCATGCCAACGAAAGGAGAACTTTTATTGGCCATATTTTTTTGACAGTTACCAAAACTGAAAAATGTTTTCCTCTTGAACTTCAATAGAGTCACTTTTTGCTGTGACTTTGAAAGGCTGTAAGTTGTGTGTAACTGAGTGGTTGGTAGCTTTTATCGTAGATTATTAGAATCATCTGTACACTGAAGTCGGCGGATCCGGCCTTCCATCCCAAGCAATCGTAATTCATCACATATAGGTTTTATAAATGTGTTTTCCTAACCGTTCATTTTAATATCTTTTTCAATGTATAAATAACTGTTCAAGGATGCTTACATTTAAGCCTTGGGATCATGTGGGATCAAAAACTCAGTAGCTTAAAAGAAGCTTGGGCACATGAAACTCTACACCCACTCAGGGCCCAAAGGGTAAATGTTACCGATTTCGTAGCTCTTTAGTTTTGCAAATACCAATATCTCCTAAGGTTATCATTGCCTTTGAGGAGGGGGGCTTTGTGATTTTCGGTTTTGCGGTTTTGACTGTTTTTTGGATCAGTTTTTCGGTTTTTGGGCCGAAAAGGTTCGGTTTTTCGGTTTTGATGTTCAGAGCGGTTTGCGGATTTTACGTGTTTTTGCATTCGGTTTTCGGTTTTCACGAAAACTCCGATGCAGTTTTCGGTTTTTCCTTTTTGACCCTTTAAAGGTGAAGATGTAGCGGTTTTGTCAGGTTTGCATGCGGTTTTCGGTTTTGCTGCCTTTTTTCGTCGGTTTTTCGGTTTTGGAGGTTTTTTTCTCCAGTTTTGCAGTTTCCCAGAGGCCCCAATGCCCCCCTCTTTGAGTGTATTGAAAGGACTTCCAAGGGCATAACCAATCTTTTACACGAAAGGATTTCAGTTCTTCTTCAAGTTCTCAAAGCCTTCACTCTTCGTGTCTAAAAGAGTCTATTTGGCTTTGGCCGTAATTTAGTAAAAGTTGCCGGGGTCAGATTTGTTCGGTGATTTTAGGTATTGGCAAATGCTTACAAAGTTCTCAGGCATATTTCTAGAAATCAACACATGTAATGAAAAAAAGCGCGTGCTAAGGTAGTTCCGGAAGGCTTGCGGTTTGAAAAATTAATCTTCAGTAGTTTCGTGCACGACTCTGCAAGTTCCTCTGTTTTCTTGAAAAGTACCAAGCAGTTAAAGGCAACTAAGAGGCACAAGTATGAATCCTAACGCCTCCTTCCCGCCGATGCTATGCTCAACGTATCATTCACTCTCCTTATAAATTTTTTTCAGTGGTTCTTATCATTTGCTCTATTTGCTTAGCCGTTTGACCTAACAAAGAAAATTATTAGCTACGGTCCTCAGCGCTTTATCACCAATGATCACGTCCCAAAAATACAACAATTTAATTTAATTTTATAATGAGTATTTTTGTAAGTTACAACGTTTTTACGTTTGATAAACTAAATCACAAAGAGAGGTGACGTAATGATGTGGGCGGAATACATGATATCTTGCGAAATCTTTTGTAGACGTGACTCATTCTCGCTTCTTGTTTTGCAGACTGAAGATGCATTTCCGGTAA